TACTTCCTCTTAGCAGCTTTGCTTGGCAGGTATCCCACGGCTCTGGCACCTTTAACATCTTGGGGACTCAAAGGCAATCTAGGCTTTACCTTCACACTTTCATGCAACAGACTCCTAGGCCTCCATCCAGGGATGCCCTGGCCACATACCTGGCTTCAGCAGCTTTCCTTACTTGCAGAGGGAAATGCATCTTTGATTCTAAAGCCAGAACCATGTGGTCAAAGCTGCCAAGTTGGCTGCTTGCTGGGCTAAAACATGGTCCCCTTATTCAATTACATCTTCACCAGCTTTCTATTTTTTATGTTTTCCTTCACTGCCTAAGCTTGGCTGTCCTGAATTTGCTCTGCAGACCAGGCTGGCCTTGAACTCAGAGATCTGCATGTCTCTGTGTGCTGAGATTAAAGGACTGCACAACCATACCTGGACCTAAGCTGTTTTTCTTTTCACAAGATGGAAACTTAGCTGGGTAGGATCTTGCCCCGAGGTTACCTCTCCCTAATTCCATTTAATATCTTTAATCTGTTTATCTCCCTGAACACAGGATTTAGCTCCATTCTACTTTCTGGTGCCCCTTTTTACCCTTCCTTGAACTATACATTTTGTATTTTTTCTTTCTAAGCTTGCTACATTTCATCAAAATGTTCTTCATAAGAGTGAATGAACCACAGGACAGGATCTATGCTAGGCTATTTGGAGATTTCCTTTGTCAATTCAATTAATCTAAATCTCTTGAATTTAGCCTCAGGCAGACTCTTCAAATAAGGGCAAAAAGCAGCCATATTCTTCACCAAAATACCACAAGAATGATCTCTAGACAACACAGTAAAATTCTCTTCTCTGAAACATCTTCAGCCAGGTCTCCTCCACACCACTGTCTTCCATGCTTTGACTAGTATGGCCCATTAAGCCTCCTAAATGCATTCCACTGCTGTGCTAACCCAAAATCCACATTCCTTTAAACAAAAGCCCTGTCAGACCTATCACAGCAATATCCCAGTACCAATAACTTCTCCTTTAGTTAGGGTTTCATTGCCATGAAGGGATAACATGACCAAGGCAACTCTTCTAAAGGAAAATATTTAATTGGGGCTGGCTTACAGTTTCAGAGATTTAGTTAATTATCATCATGGTGGGAAGTATGGCAGCCTGTAGACAGATATGGTGCCTGAGGAGCTGAAAGTTCTGTATCTTTATCTGAAGGCAGCTGAAGGAGACTGGATGTATTTGATACTGGGCATAACTTGAGCATTTAAGACCTCAAAGCCCCACCTCTACAGTGTCATACTTCCTCTAACAAGGCCACACCTCCTAATAGTGCCACTCCCTATGGCCAAGTATTCAAACACATGAGTCTGTGGAGGCCAAACCTGTTCAAACCAGCACACATCTCTGCTTCCTGGCTGCTATGGAGTGAGCGGCTTCTACTGCCACAAGCATGCCACGATGCTCTGCCTCAAAGCAGGGCAACCTTGATCCAAAACCTGAGAAGCCACAAGCTAAAACCAGGCATTCCTCCTTTCCAGTTGTCATCTCGGTTATTTGCCACAGCCGGACAGAGCTGAGTAACACAGTGCTGGACTCTTCGGAAGTGTTCACTAAAGCTTGGCTGGCTTGATTTGACTCCAGGATCTGCCATGGATGGGTAGGACTTATGGGTTAAGTTAATTAACCCATCATGTTCAGTTTTTCCATCTGTAAAATAGGACTCTAAGTTACTTCAGAGGATTATAATTGCATGATCAGTATGGAGTTATAAACCCAGGGACTCAGCAGATGGTGGCTACCAACAGCTGTCAATTTAAGTCATCAAAAAAAAAATTAGTATAATGACCACTGATGTGTTTATAAAAAGATAAAGAGAGTATGTTCTGTGGGTGTGTGGTGATGTATGGGGGAAGGGGATGTCTCAGCGGGCCCATGCTGAGGCATCTCTTCCCCCTGAGGGACCAGCCACACACCAGTATAATATAGAATAGAGTTTATTCAGGGCATGGGGAGGGGACTTAGGGTAGTAGAGGCAGAGAGAGAGAGAGAGACAGAGAGAGACAGAGACAGAGACAGAGAGACAGAGAGACAGAGAGAAGTAGAGGCTGGCCATGTGCACCTGGAAAGAGGGGAAGGGAACAAGCAGCCCCTTTTATAGTGGGCCAGGCCTACCTGGCTGTTGCCAGGTAACTGTGGGGGTGGAGTTTAGACAGAATGCTAACAACCACTACCAAGAAATTTGAAATATAGCTTATACGTCTATAGAACAGTCCAAGAAACTGCTTCTGACTGATAGTAATAAAGAATCCACTAACAGTTGGATTGTTGGCTGGGTGCAGGTTGGGCTCGGCAATGTTTCTAAAATAACTTTTAAATTAAAAAAATTATCTCTTTTCTTGGCACTCATAGTGTGTCTATCTCCAGAGGACTTTTATAGAGTGTATTTCCTCAACAGTTCTCCGTTTCTCTGTCTTTCCTTTTCCCATAAATGTGAAGCTGGGTGTTTTAAGTTACTGAATTTATGTTTGTATTTCTTGTTGACTATGGAGTAACAGTCTAGGGCCGTCCCCAGTTCAGTAGGGGCATGTCTTTTTAAAAGGAGGGAAGACATACCTGAGAATAGCTTATAGAGTGATCAATGGTTTGAAACATTAGCCAAGTCTGGTGCATGGTGGGTAGCTGACAGTGGAGCGTGGGCACTGAGCTGGGTTTGACAGCAGCTTGTACCACAGAGAGAGAGAGAGACAGGCTTGGGTAGAGGAGGGTCTCCTTCCAGTGGGGACAATGATCAGGGTTTAACTCCTCTCAGCTTGGTGCTACAGCAGGAAGCCAAGCCAGCACTTGGCTTCTCCTGCCTCCTGTGACCTGCCACTCCCACACCAGGCTTACAGATTGATCTTGTTTGCAGCAGCAGGAAGCCAAAAGCCTGTACCTCAATAAGACTTAATCTGAGGGAAGCCACCTTGGCTCAACTACTAGCCCTGGTGTTTCTCACCTGCCTGACTGGAACACAGAACAGTTAATTGTTTCTCAGGGAAAAACAAAAACTGTCAGTAGCCCTGTGGAGTCACTCCAGGACTCCATCAGAGCAGGGGCTACGGAGAAAGGAGAGATATGTAAGTGTCAGCAGATTGCCTAGGCAACAGTACTCCCAGATGAGGCAGTCAACACAAGCTTCATGCTGGTCTGGCTCCTCTGTAGCAGGGAAACTGATCCCCCAGAATACCCTGTCCTGTGACAAGGTGCCAGAGTGGAGGCATGCGGGCATCCCAATGCTACATTGGCTAAGGCTTTCCCTAGGGAATCTTTCCCTAGGGAAGTCCCCCCCTCACGCCCCAGGGCAGAGGAAGGATGTGTTTACAGACACAGGAAATGAACCATTGCTCAGGTTTTATGGGGCCACTGTGGGGGAAGCTAACCTGGGCCCTTGAGTCCTTCCACTCTGCAGTCTTATGTAAGGATCATGGGAGCTTGGGGAGGGGACACTCATGCATGCTGCAGGCTCTGCACTCTAGGTCTCCCCCCTGCATAGTAGTGGGCTCCAGCTGAGATGCACCCTGACCTTGGTGTGACTGAGAGCAGGGAGCTCACCTGCTTTGCAAGAGATGGCAGTGCTGAACTCTGAAGAAATCTCCAGCCAAGTAGAGAGAGGTATATGCAAAGAAAGGAAACTGGGGGCAGGGTATGCCATGCTCTACAGTCACCGTGTGTGCTGCCTGTGCTGGAGCCCACCAGAAGCACTACCTGAGGAGAGCCTGAAGTGTGGAGGCTCCAGGTCACTTCAGGCTGGCCAGTGGCCCAGAGCTATGGCTAACCTAATGCACACGGCACTCTCTCAGGTGCTTCCCTCAGCTACAGAGTTAAGTTTCACTGCAGCTGCATGCAGGTACCACCAGGTGTGAGAGCATTTGAAATGTCCATGGAGCTCATGACACCCTCTCCTGTGGCTAGGGGTTGCTCTGCAATGCTGCTCCTGACCCCTGAGGCTGAGACACACTGCTCCTTCCAGAGAAGAGCTGGATGGCACTACACTCTAAATTTACCCCAAAGCTGCCTTCCATAGGCACATGTGCTAGTGACTGCACAGGCTGCCTGTGGGCAGATGAGGGTAATGGCTGGAGTGAATTAGCAAGTCTGGGGAGGAGGGCCTATCAGCAGAGGGACAAATTTAGGATCTTTGAAGACATCTGGTCAGCAGGCCACAGCCTGTGACTGACGGATTAATAATGGAAAGCCCTTAGTTCAGTGTTTCTGAAGCCTCACCATCCATATCCAGGACTGCAATCTGCCCAGTCCCAGCCGCTTCCATGTGGACAATGGAGGATTTAGGCCCCTTAGTTTTTATCTCTTTGTGAGTCTGAGGCTCCAGTCTTTCTTCTATACTCAACTGCCCAGAGTGTTTTCTCATCAAGAACATGTTGAGGGGGCTGCTGCTTCCCTTGTCATTTGCTAGAAGGTATACAGCTTACCAAGTGCTGGCCAATAGCCCCAGAGCTATGGCTAACCTAATGCACCCGGCACTCTCAGGTGCTTCCCTCAGCTACAGAGTTAAGTTTTCAGCTTCACTGTCCCCTAGTGGTTCCTGTTTGAAGGCTTTGTTCCCAGCCCCGAGTGCTACAGGAAGGTGCTGGAACAGTAAGAGGAGCCTAGAGGGAGGAAGTTGGGCTGTTAGGGGTTTGATCTTGAATGTAGTCCTGAGACACTGGCTTCCTCTCTCCATATCCTGTCCTCCCTGAAGTGAGGACTTCCTTTACCACACATGCCTGAACAAGGGAAGCTGCCTTGCCACAGACCCAGAGCATACAGCCAAGGCTCTCGTCTTAGCTCAATGCAGTTAGCTAATCATGGGCAGAAATGTATGAACACATAAGCCAAAGTAAGCCATTTCTTCCCCAAGTATTCTGTCATAGCACTGGAAGGTCAACACATAGAACATGGAGCTGACACCTGTCACTGACCTCTATGCTCTCCAAGTAGCCAGCTCTCAGAACCCATCTCGAATTCCTTTTCTGCAGACTCAGGCAGCTGGATAAGCATGGCCAGGCTACAGCGCAGCAGCTGGTACAGTTGCTGAACAAGCAGAATCAGCTTCTCCTGGAGCGACAGAACCTGTCAGAGGAAGTGGACCGGCTGCGAGCCCAGGTAAGGTGGGAAGACACACGGGATCAGGTCCAGCCCAAGTACCAAGTAGCCCAGTGCTGAACAGGAATGCATACAGGGACCTCTGGGCCAGGCTGAGGGCAGCAGGCTGAGGGTAGCAGGCTGAGGGCAGTAGGCTGAGGGCAGCTGTGGACCATGTGGGAGCACGCAAAGCCCACTACAGCTCAAGGACAGGGCAGTCCAGGGCAGCCTGGCAACACACATGTACCTTCTCCTCTTCTCCTTCAAGGCTGCAGTGTCATAGGCCCAAATCTCTGCAGATCACATAGGTCAGGTGGTAAGCCGGGAGGGAGGGCCTGCCAACCGGTGTATGAAAAAGCATAAGCCAGGGCTTGTCTCTCATCAGACATGTGTCACCCAGGCATACCAAAGGCAGTAGTCACAGCATGCAGGAGCACTGGTGGGGAAGAGGAATGGCAGTGGACAGGCCCAGCATGTGGAGGAGGCAGCTCTGAACTCCTCCGGAGGATTGGACACTTGAGCAGGAGAGGTGCTCCCTGATGGGAAGGTCTCATAAGAGCTAATCAGATGTCTTAGTCCACTGTCTAAAACATGCACTCACTCTGTCCAGTTAAGCAAGCCTGCAAGGCTGATATTATTGTCTCCATTTTGCAGATAGGGAAACTGAGGCTCAAACAAGCGTATTCAGCTAGCAAATAGGGGCACAGCAAATGGAACCTAAGTCTGACTGCAGAGCCCAAGCTGTCCCCATTCAGGCTAGATAATGGCGGAAAGAGCCCAGGTGAGTTGGACGGGCGGCACAGACTACTGTTCTTCTCAACAGCCTCTCCTACATCACAGAGCCTCTGGGGTTTCTGCCCATCAAGCAATTTGTGAAGATAAGGCTGTGTGCGTGTGCTTACAGTGGTTAGTGGGAAAGCATCTGGAAGGGAAAGGAAGAAAGACCATTTCTCATTCTCCATTCAAAAAGACCTTGAGCTGACAATCTTGACCTGCCTCGAAACTCAGCCTGTTCAGTCCTTGTGTAAATTGCTTCAGGTTCACAGATATGAAAGATCCAAATTGGACACTAGGCAGAGGGCTCACGCTGGGGTAGAAGAATGCACTGGAGGGCTAGAGAGTCAGGGCCAGCGGGGTCTGACCGTGCGCTGACCACAGTCTGCAGTGTGTGTAAACACCCAGAATGCGGTGCTGACACTCCAAGGTATGTCTGGAAGCAGGACCCAGGAGCCTCCAGTAACACACTGTTGGGGTCATTTGTAAAGACAGAAAGAACCTCTTAGTTTGGAGCTGTAGCCAGAAATAACTCCATTTGATAACCTTGGCCAAGTCGTCCATGGCTCTCCTGAGCTTCTGTCTTCATCTGTAGCATGAGAATTAAGAGAACTGGGCATGGTATGGTAGTGGTGTGCTCAATGGGATCTTAGGGACTGAGCAGCCTGAAGTACCCCATACTTGAGGTCACCTTCTCCTCTTCCTGAGGGGTTCCCATAGAGCTAGCAGTGACAGGACCATCTTGACTGTGATCAGTGCTGAGTCCATCTTCTAGATGTGGAACCACTTGATTTTGGTCATAACTCAGGTCTGTGGGCAGGTCCAAGGCAGATCTGGTACATCAAAGTCCAAAGTCACCAGACCCACCTTAGGTGAATGGGCTATTCTGACACGTGGTGAAGGACTGGGGTCTACGAAATGATGAGCTTTGCCTCTGGACTAATCAACAGCCTTCTTCATGGCACACACAGATCTTAACATGGAACAGAGATATTTTTAGAAGCCTTTTCCTGAGTTTTAAAAGCCTGAAATTTTTAAATTCACTGCATTTAAAAGAAAATATTCCAGGAAAAAGTCTTCCTCTTCCAGTGGCAATACAAATGACTTGTCTATACCTTGCTGTCTGATAATGGCCTGTCTGGAGCAGTTCTGATGGGGCTTTTTATATTGAAATTCTATCCTGGGTGTTATTTTAAGATGACCAAGACAAAAGAAATTTGGCAGAGGTAATGGCTCCCTGTTGCAAATTCTGGGAGAATCAGTTTTACAAGCTCTTTATTCTGTCTCTACCCAGAGTCCACTCTTGGCCTTTGTTCTGTCTCTACCCAGAGTCCACTCTTGGCCTTTGTTCTGTCTCTACCCAGAGTCCACTTTTGGCCTTTGCTCTGTCTCTACCCAGAGTCCACTCTTGGTCTTTGCTCTGTCTCTACCCAGAGTCCACTCTTGGTCTTTGTTCTGTCTCTACCCAGAGTCCACTTTTGGCCTTTGCTCTGTCTCTACCCAGAGTCCACTCTTGGGCACAAGTGTTGCATTGGTCTCCATGTACTGACACTTGGTAGCCTTGGACTAATGTGATTTATTTTTTGCCCAAAATAAACATGAATTGTAAACTGATTTTTAAAAAAGGAATCTTTGAAGTAACCAAGTCAAAGTTTGACTGAGTGTATCCGGTTGGGGAAGTGGCTCCTTAGGGCTGCAGAGGGAGCAGCGGTGCCTCGACCTGTCTCCAGCGGGACTTGTGGGCATCTGGGGCTTGCAGCCGCCTTTGTGTTCAGTGTGGCAATGGTGTGCCTGAAGGCTTGCATTTTCTCAGCCTGGACGAATTAAGCAGAATAGCTTAATTCTGCATGTCAAACTCTGAAAAAATCTCTGTCTGCTCAGAACCCAAAAGACAGTGGGTATTTTCTGACCCAGACAGCTGCTTGGGAGCTCAGTCACGTCCTTCAGATTGGCTCTATTTTCTAAGCTCTGGCCTGTTCAGAGAAAGAATGGTGGACTCCAACAGGAAATGCCTTGTTTCTAAGCCTTGATTATTCTAAATGGCTTCTGTTTAGATTTGAGTCACACACAGCCTCTTGCCCATGAAGGAAACCTGTCCTGGTTATGAGTGACTATGTACCAATGCCACTAATGGCTGGATAGCTTACATAGCTGCCATGCGGTAGGAATGTCACTGTCCAGGGTGCAAGGTGATCCTCTAGCTGGTTTATAGTATGCTCCTACCTCAGGATTGACTAAAAATGGTGGCTTTTCTAACTTCTTGACTCACACTGGGAGGAGCTTTTAGAAAAGGGCCTTTAGAAGGCCCTGTGTAGATATGACCATACTGGCGTGTCTTACCCTGACAGTAGCCCCTGGGTTCTCTCAGCCTGGCTCTGATGTGAGGGCTGGACCAGATTCTCTATCCTTGCCTGACTTGCCTGAGTAGGGAGACCAGAGATGCCATAGTGGTCATGTGGAGGTGGCTTGTGGGCAAAGACTGTGGGTCCCAGAGACACTCAGTAAGGCTTGGATCAGGGTTGGGCTCAGAAGCCTAAACCCAAACACTAACATCTGGCCAGGAAGGGTGGAGCCAGCTGGTGAAGAAACTGGATTCTGTTCTTGGGGAGAACAGAAATGCTCTGTCCACTGGAAGAGCTGTTTCTTCCATCAAGATGAGTTTGAGTTACTTACTGGGTAATGACTCTGGTTTCAGCTGCCTGGCATCCAGCAATAGCTGTCACCCTGAGCAGCCTGCCTGTTCAGTCCTCGGCATTCAGTCTGGGGAGGGATTCCCTTTGAGTCCCTTCTTATGAATCACTCACAGTTTAGAAAACAGAGTCGGAAGCTGCCGTGTCAGTGGTTAATCAGTTGGCCCTATGACTTTTAAGCATTCTTGGCAGCAAATGCACTTTCTAATTTGATTTAAAGTTGTGCACGGATCCAGCAGCCATATGTGATTATATTCAAGATCATCGACATTATCTCATTACATCAAAGGACTCATTGAATAAAGTTGAAAACAAGCATGAGAGGCAAATCCCAGGGAGGGAGGATAGGCCTGCTTGTGAGGAGAAGCAGACACAGGACTGAGGCTGGCGATGGGCAGCTCGAGTGAGGGTGGCCCAGACCCACACGCTGGTGGGAGCAGAGAGACAAAGTGGGGACCTAGAGGTGGTCACTCTTGACTTGTCCTTCCTAGAGCCCAGGGGCTTTGCCTAGCTGACTTCAGGGCCCATATACAGTTAACTACCTGCAAGACAGATGGTGTCTTATGAATGGAACAGAAAATACACCAAATAAAATAATTTACAAAGCCTCCTCCTGAACCAGGATTTTTTGGAAAGAATTCTAAATAGATGAAAACAAACAATTTGATTTCAACCAAATTGTTGTTTTTTTGTTTTTATCCTGATTTTCATCCGAATTGTCAGTCTCAAAAATAAACACTGATACATTCCCAGAAAATATTTTTCAAATAAAAACTGACTCTGTTAAAGTTTGCCCTGATTCTTTCAAAACTGTGTACAAGACACTGTCAACCAAAGTGACTTGCATATTTTTTTTAAATCAACTTGAACATATGCAGCTACGATGTCATTAACTCCCTGCTGCTGGGTGTTTTTGGAGAATGACATAAGACCCGGGGCTGCATTTCTAACATAATCACGGGGACGTCACAGAGACTTCCCCAAGCATCCCCAAGCAGCTGAAACAGCACACAGTTAGCTTAGCTGTTCATCTAGGCGCCTTGTCAGTCACTAATACTGAAGAGCACACTAGACTTCATCTGAGAGGCCTGTTCTAAGAGCTTCCTTTGTCCAAGAATGTGTACTTCCAGAATAGGAATAGGGGTGAAAAATGTTGACTTTTATATCGCTTCAGATGCATTTGCTACTCTTTCTGCTTTCTGAGTTAGACATTATATTTTACAATATAAATTCACAATCAAGTTTTTAAAGGGAGCTAAATATTTTAATCCAATTAGACAAGTGAACAAAACACTGAATATTACATGCAGGGGAGATAAGTGGTTTCTGCCTTTAAAAGACGGCAACTCCATCACATTTCAACCCCAAATGTCAATGTTGTCTTCATTTTTAACGCTTTCAGACACCAGGCAGCCAGAGGCTCCACTCTGCTGTTGGTGACACTATCTGTCCTTTGGGAATTCTTAACATTTATTTCCCATTTAAATAAGATTCACATAAAACATACCTACCCCTGTGCAAAGAAAGTGCTTGGGAGCCAAAATAATGGCCCTTGACCCTGGAGTCGATCTGGTGATGAGCTGCATGCTTTAAGACACTGTGCAGGTCTCCCTGCAAGAGCATCTGTGTCCTCTGGCCTACACAGAGCTGAGTCCCATCACATGAAGTCCTGCTTTGTCTGAGGACAGCCTCTCTACCCTTTCTAGCTATCTTTTCCTGGCTCTGGCTTCTGTAGAGGAAGCAGAGCCAGACCATCCATGGAAGGGAACCACAGCTGTCTTCAAAAGCACAGGTAGCCAGCAAGGAGTCAGTGCTGGTCTATGGTGACTTGTGACTTCCTGCCTTGCTTAATAGCTGACAGTGGTCAGAATCTTGGTATTCCTACCAGAAGCTCTGATCTATGTTGGGGAGACTGCTCTAGGGTCTGGTGGGCATTGCTGAGCTTGGTAGGTATTACCACTTGCTAAACTAGGTAACCAGCTACAGTCTGTAGCACACAGACAGGACACTCTTTATTCTCCCTCTCTGGGTTTGGCCATTCTGGGTTGCCTCCTATCTTGCCCTTGATAATGCTGTCATGCCAGCTGCTCAGCTCTTCATGGATGTACCACAGTAGGCCTTGAGAATCAGGGTAGGACCTGTACTTGGAGGTCACACGGTCTGCATCTTAAGAACAGGTTAGGTTCCATTTGGAGCCCAGTCCTAGTGCCACTGAATTAATTTTGTAGAGTCACTGTCAATATCACAACAGGATCATGGGGCCACTGGAGAGAAATCATATCATATTCTCTCAGGCAAATGGAATGATATAGCCCAAAAAAGGAGTCATGTATGGGAAAGTGGAGTAGCTGGGTATATAGCACCAGAAGGGAAGGCAAGCCAGAGGAAGGATCTGAGGGTCTCTGTCACCTCAGAACAAGCTAGGAAGGACCACTGAGAAAATACCTACTCTTAAAAGTAGATGCCTACTGCCAGGAGTCTAGGAACAGAGCATTTGGGGACCTCACCACATGGGGTAATATACACACAGAGAGCCAGAAAGAATGCTGACTTGAGGGTTGTAGGACACTAGAGGAAAGGGCAGAGTGGCCTGCGGCCATTTTTTAGGAGGCTGAGGTGAGACCAGCCTGGGCCATACAGAAGTCCGACCTCAGTGGAAAGGTGAAGAAACAAGGTAAATGGCAGCCCAGACTACAGAGCGAGAATCTAACCCAGTAGCCAGAAGGGCTGGGGACCCTAAAGCATGGCCAACTGTGCAACACTCTGGCTCACCCCATACACCTTACTTCTTAAAAGGCCAAGTTTAAAATTAACTTTAGAAATAAACTGAGCACAAAAGGTTTGGGGAGAAGGCTGTGGTCGAAGGACAAAGTGCCAAGCATGAGGGCCAGCTACATCAGGCCGCGCCCCCAAAAGCAAGGGGATCTCTTCTCTGCTCCCAGACCAGTCACAGATCCAGAGGGACCACGCCAGGGGCCATGCTAACATGTGAGGGCTGAATGGGGAGAGAGTTGTCAGCAGCTCAAGCTGAGAGCATTCCTAGACACCCACCTTCTCTCCTAAACTGAGCCCACAGTGGCTGTTGTGTCCAGGACAGAAATAGACATCAGTAACACCCCGACACGTAACTGCAGATAGTCAGACGATGATAGTAACTCACATTTTTGTGTCTCTGGGTAACTGTGTGGAAAGATCAGGCAAGCGGCACTGAAGAATGTCACTCTAGCAGGCAGTGTGGATGAGACACTCCGAGTGCAAGACCTGAAGAGGATATGCAGTGGCAGTAAACTGCATGCCTACCCAAAGCCTGAAACTGACTGGAGTGGGACAACTCTTTTGCTCCATGAGCATATGACTTCCTGTATTCCTGTTTTGCCTCACATCCTGTCAAACCAGGAGGTTGTCCTCAGTCAGAAGGGCAGGGCATGTGTCAACAGGGATTCTAGTGATACATTATTGGACAGCCTTGGGATCATAGGTACCCCAAGACTCACTGAGAGATGCATTTCTGGGTTAAAAATCCCGCTGCCAAGCTGCATTCTCTGCCACAGGGCCTCACTCATCTGTACTGAAGGAGGGAATCTTCTGCCCAAGTTCATTCACCTCTGACTTTTGAAATATGCTTGTCATGGTTTGTGCTGATGCATGTTCAGGCATTTACTTTCTTGGGTTAGAAGCCCTTGTGTCTAGAGATACAGGATACCAGGCAGCAATCTTACCTGGCTATCCTCAGAGTACCAGGGAGAGGGGGTATCCCAACTAGTCACTTTCAGAACCAATATCTGCTTGCTCAGTGAATGCTGGCATCCGTGTTAATGAGGAACCTGTCTACTAGTTAAATTGGTCGCAGGCTTTGGTGACTGACAGATGTCCCAGACCTCCTCTGGATGAGTCTGAGAACAGAGTCCTCTTGGGCTCTGAAAAGCTCCTCATTGCTACTCTCACGCTGTCCTGCTTTGCTTTTTGCCACATTCCCACCTCCATTCCTTGTGAGAAACCCCTCTGCTCATGTAACAGTTCATTAAAATTCACTACCATGCTACTCGCACATGGTAACATCTACCTGAAATGCACACATGACCTTTTCCAAAGGGAAAGAATTTTAAAAAGAAATAAAAATGGAAAAAAAAGAAAGAAAAAGCATTTCAAACTTGTCTTATTCTACCAACTTAGAAATCCCTATCAGGGAATCATGGATTCTACCAGGCAGCAGAATTCTCCCTTGGATGCTAGCTCTAGTCACAAGGCTGGGTGGGCCCTGGCCTGTGCTCTATCATCCTGGCTCAGTGGAAACTGCAGTTCTGAGGCTACCACAGGCCACTCTCCTCAGACTGTCACAGTACTGTGGCTGGTCATTTTGCACTGAAGGCACTGCATAATTAGGGAGACATTCCGATATACCTAGTGGACTTGTGTGCAATGTCAAGTCACCAGGGAATGGTGTTCAGCACTTTCCTAACTCCTGGTTCTCCCCACCAACAAGTGCAAAATCTTTAGATATGAGAGATCTCAATATTATGGATCCTACCTTCTAGCATGTGGGTGGAGCATCTTTGTGAAACTGTAAAAACACATCTACATGTTACAAGAAGCTGCAGGTAACAGACGTTTTGAGTTACTCTGTCCCATCCTAATTTTCCCTACTTTTCCCCACCTAATGTCAGATCGTTTCTTAACACATAATTCAGCACACTATCATAATGTCAACTGTCCATAGGTAGATGTATACACAGGCCTGGAGCACAGGATGCTTTCAGAAGGAAAGTATTAGAAGGAAGTATATGGCTTGATACTGATATACAGAAAGGGCTTTCTTTGGTCTCTGGTAGCAGGGAGTAAGGCACAAATTTTCAATACAGTTAGCTACACACAATTTTCACATTTTTAGCAACAGAAACGTTTTCTCCAAAGCATCAGTGATAACAGCTGACCAGACCAGCAAATGAGAAAACAAATACCCATGATCTATTTAAACTTACTTTTTATTATCATTTTTTTCCAGTTACCCAGCATGCCACAATCTGATTGCTGACCTGGATGAAACAGAGTGAAATAAATGATTTACAAAGAGATATTTACATTCATCTGATTTGTACTTAATGTGCCACAGTGCACTGAAACCTCCCCAGGGAGACACCACCGGGGACTGCAGGGGGCTGGTCCTCATGCCATGGTCTGTCCCTGTGCTACAGACAGGGAGTGCTTCAGCAGCAACTGGCTAGGGCTAGTTGGGAGTGTGTGCTCAGAACAGCTTCAAGTCACTGATTTACGTTGTCTCTAAATGCACAGGGATTAATAAAATGACCTTTCTAAAGACTTGAGTTGTTCTGTTTCCTTTTCATTTTGTAGCAATGACAAAACACACCAAAAGGCACATGTTTGAAGTCAGCCAAAGTGTACTGAAGACCACCTTTCCTCCTGCCGGTCACCGCTTCTTCCCTCTGACCATGTCTACCTTTAGCCAGCATCCAGTATTTCCCATTGAACTGTGTGCACTCCGGAAGCACTCTGCATCATTCTTCCCATTCTCTGAACAACACAAAGCAAGCCCCTCCCCCTCCCCCCAAAAAGGCATCTTTGGCTCGATGGTGTCAGATTTTTGTCTTCAATAGCAGTATTTGAGAGGAGCCTAAAAACAAATGTATGTGAAATTAGAAAATTTACTTAACAGTATATCAAATATCTGTACACAGATCATATTCTTAAGTCTAAAATAGTATTTCTACTATACAGTCAAGCCCTCAATGCTTCAAAGGAATACAGATGGACACTGGAAGGTCTGGGGTGTAGCTCAGTGGCAGAGCACTTGCCCAGCATGTGTGAGGCCCTGGGTTCCTTTCCCAGCACCACAAAACAAACAAAAACAAAAAAACAAAAGCAGACAGACAGAAATAAAGGCTGGATGCTGAGATGCTCATGGCGTTTGAGGGAGGGATGAAGCACTAAGGGCAAGCCTGCATGTGAGACCTCACCTCTCCCTGCCAGCAGCCCAGCAGCCTAGGGCTCTCAGCTGAGGCCTGGTGTCCACATGCTCAGCCTGCCCTGCACAAACATGCAGCTTAGGCCATGGAGGTGGTGGCAGCATGATGGTGCATGGGCCATCCTCATCTCTGGGGCGGGTCAAAGGTGCAAGCCTAGAACAGCAGAACTTCTGAGTCAGAAGTTTCTGGTTTCATCAAATGTGTCAGACATAAAGCTCTCACATATTTTAACTGTCCTCAATTCTATTTTATGGATACCAAGAATAAATTATACAATATTCTAAAAATAGCACCTTTAAAGAGTTGTAGAGGTCACTTTATTTCAGCCTCGTGGATCTGCCAACCCCAGCTGATTTTGAGAACAGCACATGTAAGAATGTCCCCAAATTTGGCTGTGAGAAATACACATGCATGCCTGACTAACTGGTCCCAAAAGTCATTCCTCTCTCTGTTGAACTCACAAAAGCAAAGCCAAGTTCTATAATTGTAGCTTATGAGGTAAAAATCAGAAAGCCACCCCATCCAAAACAATGTACTCCAGACATTCTAGCCATCAGTGACTCCTGTCTAAGTCAAACTGACATGAAGGGTTAAACATACACTTGCCAGGAAGTGTGCGGAACAGTAGGTTATCAGGAAGACGTAGTGATAAGCTGCATTCCTTGAGAATTCTGGGCCCACACCATTTCTTAAGACTTTTAGGGTCTGCAACCTACTCTTTCTCTGGCATCCTAGTAGATGTGCCTTAGAATCTTCTGCTGGTGGCCAGTGACTCTACTCCTAGCCCTTTATCAGTTGGTATAAGCATGCTATTGGCATTTTGGTCAAGTAAAAACACCCTGTATGTGTTTTATGTAAGAGGAATTTACCTCATTTCCTGTCACACCTTCATACAGGGTTGGTTAATAACAGCTGGGGCTATAATCATTTTTCCAGAAAAGAAGGAAATTTAAGTCTTCTGATATTACAGAGCCATATCCAACAACAACAAACAGAGAAGTAGCAGATTGACATAGGGCTTTATTTAAGCTGTCTGTACGAAGGAAGTAATGTGTGTCCCTATCAGAGAGTGTGAGATACTGAGGGTGTACACTGTACAAAATCAGGTTCTTGGTAGTTATTTCACACCCTGGGGTCATAAACTTAAGGACACAAACTTCTGTAGTGTGGCCAGCCGTGACAGTGATGACAGCATCCGGGTTCATAGCTGTGTCTGCTTCAAACCCTTAACCAGATGACCAGATCTTGTATTGATCTAGTACAAGAACTAGAAAGTCAAAATATGTCACAGACTACGAATCTACAGGGAGGGGACTCGATGACCAGTTCAGAGGTTTCCTTTTTATTTAAATAAATACTTTACATTTCATGCTTGCCTGTAATGCACTACCAGGAGCAAGCTAAGGGAGCTGTGATGTAGACAGTGCAGACGGTAGCAGCAAAGTGTGCACACGGAGGTGTGCTGGAGGCCCTGCAGGTACTGAGGGAAAGAGAAGCATGTGGCCCTGCAAGAAGTCAGCTCTGGGAAGCTGGAAGTCAGGTGGGAAATGGAAACAATACTGGAATAATCTAGGTCATTAGTGTAGAGAGCAAAGCTGTGAGGATGCTGGCCGCAGTCTGAGCAGAAGTGGCCAGTTCCCTCCCAGACAGCCCTGCATGGTGACAAGAGGTCAAGGTGGAGTTGGTAGGAGCTGCATCTGGACGTGATGCCAGGTTTCAGGCCATTTCAACTGCTGGAACCCTAAGCTGTAGGCCTAGGCAACCTAGGATTTTAGAATCGCCTCTCCACATCCTGTTTTGCTTCTGCCTTTTCACTGACATCTGGTGGAGGGTGCAAGGAAAGAATTCTTGAAATCAAACCCAAGAACACACCTGCTGTGACACTCAGGGAGTCAGGGATGGGGTGAGTAACCCCTTGAATGGCTGGGGACCAAGGGCCAGGTGCGAGGAGTGGCCAGCCTGAGACACTGTCAATGCCCCCTCATTAATCTTCACAAAGTATCCTTGGCCAAGGTCATGAAATTACCTTAAGACTTGGAAGGAGAGACAAAAAACGAAAGAAGCTGTGTGCTTAGTGTACATTGTCTGCTCCCTCTGAGGGAATAAATGCTCTCAACATCAGCCAGGCTCAGCTTGCTTTTCTTCCTCTCCTACTTCTTTCTTACAGAATGGATGCAAGGTAACTAAAGGACACACCTTCTAATCTACTTTCTTGTCAGTGTGAAACATTCAACATCTATGTAGGATAGAAGAAGACTGCAGATGTAAGAATGTACATCTGTTTAACTTCCTACTTCCTACTAAGGGTAAACTCACCCAGGTAGAAACATGAAAAATTAGGACAAAATCTATGTCTGAGTCTGTCTTAGCTGCCTTAAGTACAATGCCCTTTACACCCCAGCAGTCCCAGCGGCCAGCCACTGCCAGCAGCGGCTCTGCTTCCCTAAGTCTGAGCCTAGAGGCCAAGACATCTGCATGAGAACATGACTCCTACTCAAAAAGACAATACAGTAACACTATGTCACACTGTAGTCTTCCACTTGGGAGCTGTCAGTTAGTAACTAGAATACATTTCCATGATCACTCCTTGGAGCAGCAGCTGCCCTCTTGCTTGCTGCAAGAGAGGCTTTGATCCTTGGACTTCATAGTCTGCTTTGGAAAGTGTCAGCTCCTAGCACCAAAGGGTTTAATCTGAAGATCATCATTAATGAAGGAGAAAGATGAGGTTTGCATACATGTCCCCTCTCAGTGAGAAATGTTTGGGTTGGGAGACATGAGTATGTACAGAAAAATAAAAGCTAGAGGTGTTTTGTTTTGTTGTATTCCCTGATGGCTTGATTCAGTAATGAATGTACCTTGATAAGAATAAACACACCAGCTTCTTCTTCTTTACTTCCTACTGTGTGAGTATTTGTGATGTGTTCATTTTGCTGAGTAGAGTTCCTTCCTTATCCTCATTTGGGTCTCAGCTTTCTCCTGTACTTTATGCCAAGCTGTCCTTTCACACCCACTCAAGGGAGCAACCACCACCGTCCATCTGCCCCACCAACCCCTTGGCATTGGGTAGTTGGAGATTTTCTCATTTCAGCTCCAAGGGGTTAAATTACAGCATCTCTTCTCCCAAAGATTCTAACCAGATTCTAAGCAATAGATATAGTCCCAGAGCCTTACCATTAGTTTTCACATAGGAGAAAAAGTGCATGATTCTAACGGTGTGTACAGTCCTTGCACATGGGTCAAAAGAAACCGCAGGCAATGACCTGTGAATTGGAGCTGCGCTTGCTAACATGACAACACAATTCTTATCACTAAAAAATAAATACTACTGTAATATAAACAAAACCATAAAGGACATTCAAAGTTTTAACATCTGAGAAAAAGCTAATTTACCTATAACTGAAAGTAAAAACTTCAAAACTGGTAAGGCAAACACCTGTTCGCCTTGGTGTATAGATTTTGGCGACAGCAGGATCATTATACTGTCTACATTCTTCAGCCATCAGAGGGGATAATTATCAAGAAGGGGAAAAGGTTGCCAAGCCCAAGGGAAAAATACTCTCTGGTACAAAGTAGATCCTCAGACTCTCTAGGTGACTCTGCACCTTAGGTACTTGGTTGAACAATGTCCTTGAAATCTGGGCATCCATGGGTGGCACTGGGCTTCCTCCAGAATAGCCAGCAGGAATTTAAAAAAAAAAACATGTGTATCTTATTGGTCCTTCAGTCCTCTCAATGTTTCCTAAGGATTTCCAGCCTAATGTCAGTGATACACACTTCATGTGCTGGTCAGACATGCACGGCTAAACTCTTACATACACACACCACCACCCTTCAACAATTGCTTGTTCAGAAATATAAACTAAATCTTAGTCTAATTAGTTCTTGATTTATCTCCTAGAAAGTTAAAAATGTACCTAGAATCAGTGTATCTCACTTAGCCTTCACTGCTAGGGAAAACCAAAAACCAAAATAAGATGACATTTGATGCACAAAGGAACGATGGGCTCATGACTCCCAAAGATTGTAAAATTACGTCTGAAAGTTGCTGTAATAGTAAGACAGTAGCAGCAACAGAATGAGACCTCAGACTGAGATACAATTTCATGCAAAAACAAAACTGGAGTGTCTGTGTATATGGTTTCCTGTGGGTGAGAGGTGGTGAGGGTGAAGACCCTTGGCTGGTCAGGGATGTCAGAAGGTGCCCCTGCTAACTGTAAGAGCGAGGACTGTTGGAGATGTCCAGGAATCATTCTCAGTGGCAAAGTCTAAGATGACAGTGTAGAGACAAACTGGAAGAACTTATTCCCGTCCGCTTGCAGAGTATGAGAACTGAGGGAAGTGGGGCCGCCGCTCGTTGTCCATGCAGTCCATGCCGTCATCGTCATCTGTGGGCGGCAAACAGCGGCTGTCAGTTAGGTTTCTACTGTTCCTCAGCCTACACGCTCACAGAGACAGCACTTCTCGTCAACGTCTCAGCAAAACTGAGTTTAAAAAGTATTATTTCTATATATACGTGGCCTACAAACATTATAAAGTCATCTCTAAGACATCAAAGTTTCAAGATTCAATACTTTAGGAAAAATGTTACTAAAAAAAGCAGAATTCTACTTTCAAGAATCTTGTATTTCAGGAAAGCATAAAGTTCTAAATTCTAAGTCATTGAATTGTACAGAACCTATTAGGTCTCCAAAGTGCCTGTAGTTTTCTTCCTGGTGACCTAGGTATGACTATACACTCATCTTCTTAAGCAGTATTAGTCAATATTTACTACTGATTAACTCACTAGTCTCTATATTCTTCTAATAAAATTTTAAAATAGAATAAAGAGGACAAGAAAAAGGATGAAAAACCAATGGGCAGATATCAAGTCCTGGTTCAGAAAGAAAGAATTTGCAAGCCATGTGGGCAGGATGGCATGTATGCACACCCTCTCTTATCTCTTTTTCCTATAAGTGAAGGGCCACAACGAAGCAAGCATCTTCCTCCCTAAGTGTTCTGCTCATCTCCAAAGATGACACTGTCCTGTAATCAGGATAAACTAGTCAGTACAACCTTCTAGAACATGATTGGTTTTTAATTTTTATTTGTGTGTGTGTGTGTGTGTGTGTGTGTGTGTGTGTGTGTATGAGAGGGAGGTAGAGAAGGAGGGAGGGAAGGAGAGAAGGAAGGAGAGAGGGAGGGAGGGAGAATGGGAGGGAAGGTGTATGTTTATGTAAAACCCATGAGTGCAAGTGCCCTCAGAGTCTGGAGGAGGCCTCAGATCCCCTGGGTGCTGATTACATAGCCCACTTAGAGAACTGATCTAAGGTACAGTCATTGGGAAGAGGGAATTGGCAACTGAGAAAATGAATGCCTCTATCATGCTGCTCTGCAGGCAAGTCTGCAAGGGGTATTTCCTTGATTAATGATTGATATGAGAAAGTCCACCACACTCTGGGTGTTGTCACTCCTGGGTACATCCGCATCCTAGATTATATAAAAAGGCAAGCTGAGCAAGCCATTGGGAGATGTCCAGTAAGCATGTCCTCTATATAAGCTCCTGCCTCCAGGTTCCTGCCTTAAGCTCCTAACTTCCTTTGATGATGGACTGTTATCAGGACATTGTAAACCAAATAAATTTTCTTGTTACTTCTCATCATGGTTTTTAATCACAGCAATATAGACAAACTAAAGCACCTTAGAACTGGAGTTACACGCTATGAGCCCCACAATATAGGGCTAGGAACTGAACCAAGGTCCCTTACTAGAGCAGCAGCTGTCCTTAATTACTGAGCCATCATCTCTCTCCAGCCTTACAATCTTTTTTTCCATGCAAAATATTTCCATTTCCTTAAACCCATTAAGAGAAGTGGTTCCATTCTTTTTGTTTTCTAGGCTCCATTGGGTGCATTAATTTCATGAACAGAAACTATGCACCTGATAAAAGGCTTTGCCTTCATCTGAAAAATGATTTTTTAAATTTTTTTCCATATTTTCTTCTTAATGCACAGGAACCACAGAGTGAGACAGAATTGGCATTACCTAACTTTTTTTCAGCTCAAATGCATCAAAAACTATTGCTGCAGTAGGTAGAAACACTTCACACACACACAGACACACACACACACACACACACACAGAGTTTGCGTAAGACATTACACAAATTCCCCTCTGTAGAGACAGCTGCCTTGTCAGTAGCTGAGCAGCAATCCTAGGTAGTGCTGAGGCAGATGGAAATCTCTGCCTCCTGGGTTCAGAACTAAGCACACATCTTCAAATTCTTTAGCTGTTTGAAAGCTGGGCTGTGTCTGAGATATCCATTATTGGGTCACACAGCATCAACTCTATATAGGAAAGTTAGTTGAAGTAGTAATGTTCCAATTCAGACATCTGTCAATCACCTCTCGAAAGCACCTTCCCTACTAACAGCTTTGCTTTTCTGAGTGTTTCTGCACAGCAAACTTGCAGCAAGTCTTACTATGTGTAAGAAAGCCATGTGCTTTTTCTACCCCAGAGATGGCAGGACTGCTCTGGCTCCTGGCTGTAACCAGACCTTGTCCTAGGCCTAGAAGGGCTTTACATGACAAGTCTTGGTCTTGCCTTGGAGAGAGAGGGTGAACTTGTGGGTGTCTCCAGAGAATTAAGACAGCCTCCACTGTTCCTTCAACAACAATCACCACAATTCTGAACAACAACAAATCTGAATCTACAGTCTGGCTATGAGGCCCACACGAGGCCTATCCTTCCTCAAAGCTACCCACTCCAGCTCTTGACTACCCCCAGGGTTGGTTACAATGGGGCTTGTTCTTTGACTATGTCCAGTTGAGGGCAGGAGCTCCATGGGCACTTGTGCTGTCCTGGCAGGGTCTGCAGTGAGGGAACTAGGAAACAGGGCACAGTCGGTATCTGTGAAGCTGGTCGTCCTCTGGAGGACCATGCAGGCACAATGGAAGCAGTCATGAATATAAGTACATTTATATGACCAACAATTACAGACGATAGCTCTGTATTTGAATCTTTGCATCCACATATCCCCCAGTGCCTGCTTTTCTCAGAACATTTAACAAATGTAATTAGACAGTAGCAAAAGTGATCATATCTCTCTCAAAGAAATTTTCCTTTTCTGTAAGAGGAAAGCATGGGGCCACTGATGGATGTAATGAAAGACAACACATTCTAAAATCTGTTCAATTAATTAACACCAGTTAGGACAATCTGGCACATTGCTGCAGCTGTTTGGGAAAAAAAAAAGGAACATTTTGCTTTCTTTCTTAACTGCTGATTTATTCTTTAAAAAATAATTTAAAATTTTTCATTTACAAAACCAAGGTGGCAACTCGGAAGACAACTACTGACAAACGGCATCCCATGGACTTTGGAATCAAATCTTGATGCCTGAGTTGTGAGTAACAATGGTTTCAAGGCTACCAGAAAAAACTACTCTCAGTATAGAAATGGTTTGCTGCCTCTTTTCTCTTCCTATAGGGGAAACTGAGACTCTATGAACTGCCAAACCGAAAGCTCTTCCCTTGGTCCTCAGAACCAAGAACTGCATTTACTGGGACTGCTCCCCTTCAACAGAAGCTAGGACAGAGTAAGGCTTAGCTACTTCACTTGCCTTTCCATCCAAGAGATCCTGAACAAGCAGAGAGGAGCCTAAGTTCTAGACTCTCCTTAATGCTAGTCTGTGGCATGCCCTGTCAGGCATACACCAGACTGGTTGGACTCTTGTTGCTGTACTGCAGCAGAGCAAGGTCATACTCTACTTCTGATCTCCACAGAAGTCAGATTCCCACAGGCTAATAGCACCCACTTTGGAAATTATGCTAACCCAAGGGCTTGCTGTATAGCTGCTGTGTAACTCCAGAATGAACATGCCATCCTTCAAAGTCACTGAGCCTTACACAACCTAGTCCACTTGTGTTGATTAATGCAGGTAAGGAAAGAAGTTAAACTTAAAGGCACGTGAAACATCTCCTAGTCATCATCTTAGTATCATTTCAGTGGTCTTAGGAACTGAGAAATAAACATAAAAATTCTCATCAGGACAGCTGCCATAATTGTGTGTCACAAATATGAAGACAGGTGGAATGAAAATGTCCTTCCTGGTCCTTGACTCCTGAGGCTAGAAGTCCAAGTTAATCATGAAACAGCAGCTGGATAACCACAAGAGTACTCTTAATAGCTTCTAACTTCACTTGGTTGAGACTTGGTAGAGTTTTTAAATGTTTATGCTACTTACTTTCTAGTCTTGAATTCTTTCATGCTTATTCCACTTAGGGACATTTTATACTTGAGCTCTATAGCTCACTTTTCATGTAAATCCTAAGGACCAGTTAATCAAGCCACTCAAGCTTAGAATGCTCTGGAACCTTTCCTTAAGAGCTGGCTTGTCAGGCACACCTGAGAGAAGCATGGGCTTTAGAGATTACCCTAGAGTCCCTGTGCCTCCCTCTCAGGCACAGTTGAGGCATCAGGTCTCAGAACAAATGCCAGAGATGAGACGTGAAGCAGGCTCTAGGCTTGCAGCTTGTGCTTTTGTATTTTCTATCTTGAAAATTGGGATTTCACTTTTACCTTTCTGAAGTCAACTATCTACTCATGATTCTTCCTTCCTAAGCCCTACCTATTTCTATTTATTTTTCTAAAATCATGCATTCGGCTCTCTTAAGAAGAATCTTCCAATGTTAAAACTTGTGTTCAAGAAATCATATTAAGCCGGGCTGTGGTGGTGCACGCCTTTAATCCTAGCACCTGGGAGGCAGAGGCAGGTGGATTTCTGAGTTCGAGGACAGCCTGGTCTACAGAGTGAGTTCCAGGACAGCCAGGGCTATACAGAGAAACCCTGTCTCAAAAAACCAAAAAAAAAACAAAAAAAAAGAAATCATATTAAAAAGACTGACACAGAGGGCAAGGGCATCATGTCATGAGTCAAGCTAGGTGAGAAGGCCCAGATGTGTTATTTCTAAATCCAGAAAGTTAAGGCATAAAAGATTCTGTGAGTCCAGAAGAAGCTAGGCTAATAAGAGTCCCTCTAACCTATTTTCCAAAAACACACCAGGATCTTCCTATCCTAAAGTATACTCTGGATGCCAATGGGGAGAAAAGACACATAAAGGCAGCCCAGACACTCAAGGACAACTGTGCCACGCTAAGAACTGGGCCTCCTCCTGACACAAACCCTCCCAGGCTCTTGTCATCTTTTATGTTCATTCATTTAATAAATATTTGTCAAGGCAGCATCTATCAGGGACTGGGACAAAGAGTCATTACATCATGAGATCCTTTCAGTAATAACCTCTAAACTGATGAAAAATAGCAAGTAAAGGCATCCTCAATATAAGTGTCACAGAAGGATGGAGCGTGGTCAGACTGCACTGTTCCTTGGACTATGACATCAGTGGTGGTTCTCTGGGTGAGAACATGGATATATACTGAAAAAGGAAGCCACTGGAGAACTGTACCCTGGGGAAGGATGGTCTGCATGCAACCAGCCTTTGATCCAAATGGCAGAGCCCAGCAAGAACTCAGGGTAGGCACTTCTCTTGGTCTGTTCAGCTACTCACTCGTGTTTCCCAGTATTTTGAACAATTATATTGCTATATCCCATGCTGAGACGAGAGGCCAAGGGCTATGCCCATAATTTCTACTAAGATAACCCTTAACTACGTGCCCACAACTCCACAGGAATTTTAATAGTCTCTAACTTCTTATTGATATTAAAAGTCTAACAATAACATATGTAGCTCCCTTTAGCATGTATGCATCTTAGAACTTGGTTGGTGTCCCAGCTGTGCTGGTCACTTCTGCTATTGCTGTATGTGATACTGGGCTTCAACATCTTTACTTATAAAAGTTAAGCACTTCTTCTCAATGTAAAGGCATAAAAGAACCAGAAGTGCACACATGCATACAGGCATTTCCCCTGGGGCATGCACTCTTTCAGATGCAGGACTACTGACTCCAGATCGAGTCCTAGTTTATGTTTCAACAATAAATCATGACCACTACAGGGATTGCATTTCATTTTCTTTTTCTGTCTCACAGACATTCAGTATATATAAGCAGTATCATCCAACAGTCGAGAAAATGTTAAAACAAGGAAAAGAAAGGAAGAAATGCTAACGGATAGTACACTCCTACGCCTGGGATTCTCTTAGCTTTCCAAATATCACCTCAAAATTAAGTTACTTCTGTACGGCATCTCTGTATGGCATCTCTGTATGGCATCTCTGTACGGCATCTCTGTATGGCATCTCTGTACGGCATCTCTTGGAGTAGATTCCTATATTAGTGCATGTGAGATGAGCTGCTGTGTGGACACACAGCCTAGTGCATTCTTAATGGGAACTGTATGCATACACACTAATAGCAAACTCAATTGTCTCTAAAGATACTACTATTTAAGGAAAAGCAGTTTTTCAAAGTAAAGTGAAATGACTAAGTAAGAAGGAGGCAGAGCTGGTTCTGAAGCTGTGAGGAGGGAACAGGGTCTGGACAAGGAATGCTCCTACTTGAGACACAGGCACACAGGCAGCACAGAACTGCTGAGACAGCCGTGAGGAGGAGCAAGGCTGCAATGTGACCTCAAGTGTCCTACCCAGAAAAGTCTGTTCCTGCTGCTCTGCTATGTCCTCATGGGGGGCTGCAAATTCTTACAGAAATGGAATAAAAATCCCAGATGGATCTCATCTGTGATGTAACCAACGACTCTGGAGAAGACTCTGTCCAACTACTTCAGAGTGTCATTAACTGTTGTACGCTTACTTACACTTTTCAGGTGGTGTTATTGTAATAGTCTGAGCTGTAAATTCTTCATCAAAATATCTGGTGTCTGTTTCAGATGTTACTTGAGGCTTAAAAGGAGGTACAAGCTGTAAGAAGAAAAGAATATTGTCAATAAATTTCGACTCAGGAAAACTTACTTTTAAGATATAATTAGCAAGCAGATAGTGAAATGAATGGTACCAAAGACTAGAAGATGAGCCCTGTGAGATAAGGTGCATGGCTTGCTGTCTAAACATAAAATTATAACAGGTGTAGAGAAACCATCACAGAATGGTCACCAAACTAGAATGTGGTTCTTTCCATAGCAGCAAGACTCTAATCCTGTTTGTTTTCTTCTCCTTCTTTCCTGGTACTTGGCTCAATGGTTAATATTAAAGATATAACTTAGCTGGGCATGATAATACACTCCTGTGATCTGATTTCAGCACTCAGAATGTTGATACAGGAGGATCACAAATCTTCCTGGCCCAGTGGGATTTCAGAAGCCAACAAACAAAGGAAAGCTAAAGGCAACTTAATACACCCATTCTGTAACCACAGACCACACTGCACATTTATTTTTTTAAAAATCTGCTGTTTTGTTTTGTTTTACTGAACAATCACTGATGCCAGCCCTTGCCTTAGAATCAGAATTCTTAGCAATCCTTGAGGTTTGTGAAAAACTATATCCACAGCCTTCACTCCCTCCTTCACAAGTGGATGTATCCTGAAGGAGGTCTGAAGTAACTACCCTAGAGCTGACAGAGCTGGGACTAACTCAAGTAGTCAAAGCAGGAACAGGGTGGGGAAAGCCTTGCATTGGCCTTGAGTGAGTAGGGCTGTGATAGGGTCCTCACTTGTCAGAGCGTGGACTCCAGAGTGCAAGAGAGACCATGGGTCTCCTTTTGAATACAGGTGTCCAGCACCAGGCCTTGTCAGTTTCACCAGAACAGAATATATGTTTTACAGGGGTAAGAAAATAACAAACAGGATGAAGAAACTGGCATGTTCTGCCAAAATCTAACAAAAAGAAACACACTTGGATTAACAGAAATATGTCTGTTTCCCTTTCTCACTGTCACTAAATCTATGTAAAAATGGTTATTCTCCAGACAGAATCTATTTTTAAAAGTTGGAAAATGGGATCTATCCTCCAGTACAGCAAAAGTAAACCAAACAATGAACATCTGAACCAGGTTTAGAGGTACAGACCTATAATCTCAGCATCAAGAGAAAGAAGTAGGAAGACGGTGAGTCTAAGGCTAGTCTGGGCTACAAAGCAAGTTCCAGGTCATTCTTGGCTATACAGAGAGACTCTATTTCAAAGAAATAAAAATAAATAAGTAGTTTTACCCAATATTAGTAAAAATCAAAGTCAAGACATTCACAATAAGAGGCACTGCACCCCACTTTACCAAAAGAGTAGGAAAAATACAGTGAATATATAAACATCTGGAGAGAAACAAGCTTTACATCATGTACATGGGAAAGGCTGAACTTATCAAATTTTGTTACAACCTTTCATCAGATGCACTCCCACAGCAACCGTCGGTAAAGCTAAGTCTCTGGAGTTTATTGTAAATATCCAGCATTTTAAATTGCGATAAAAGACAGTGGAGTAAATTTTAATTCTTTATTATTAAGAAATTTTATTGTTCCCCTAAATGCATATGTTGGGAGTCTTATCCCTACTGTCTCAGATTTGGACTGTAAAAAGAGCTTTCAAAGAGTTAACAACATTAAAGTGGCTTTCACCCACTCCCGAGTGTCTATAAAAAGAGAGACAAACAAGGAAATACATGAACTAAAAGAAAGACTCTATCAAAACCCAGGGAAAGAGGACCAAATGTGAGCCAAAGAAAGATACCAAAGAACTAAGCCTTGATCTTGGACTTCCAACACTGTCAATTTCTCTCTTGAAGGGGGGGAGGGCACACACACACACATCTATTCTGTGGCATTTTGTTGTGGTAACCCTAAGTTCACTAATACTACATGGTCTTTTAAAAATTTTGTCTTTACAAATGGATGGAACTAGAAAATATCATCCTGAGTGAGGTAACACAGACCCAAAAGAACATTCATGGTATGTACTCACTGATAAGTGGATATTCACCAAAAAGTTCAGAATATCCATGACACAACTCACAGACCATATGAAGCTTGACAGGAAGGCTGGACAAAGCGGGAATGCTTCAATCCCACTTAGAAGGGAGAACAGAGGGACAGAGGGACCTGGATGGGAGAGGGAAAGGCGAGAGAAAAGGGGGTATCAGGTATGGGGGAGAAACTGGGGAGAGGCTCGGATGGTCAGAATGAATGGAAATATGCAGCAGTGTGGGGTGGAGAAGTGGGGGGAGGGGCTCTAGAAGATCATAGATACCAAGAATGTGGAAGGCTCCTAGGACCCAATGGGGATAATCTTGGCTGAAAAGCCCAACAGTGGAAAGACGGAACCTGGGGAGACCACCTCCAGTAGATAGACATGGGCCCCATATGAGGCAGGGGGCCACCCACCCACCTTCAAAGTTCTTGACCCAGAACTGTTCCTGTCTAAAGGAAATGCGGGGACAAAAATGGAGCAGAGACTGACCAGCTCCACTTGCAATCCATCCCATGCACAGGCACCAAACCTGACACTATCACTGTTGTGTGTGCAGACAGGAGCCTGGCATGGCTGTGTTCTGAGAGGCTGAAACAGATGCAGACACTTATAGCCAATCACTGGACTGAAGTTGGGGACCCCTATGGAAGAGGAAAGACTGAAGGAGCAGATGGGGATTACAACCCCATATCCTATCAACTTAAAAAACTTATCAACTAGCACAGACCCCTGAGCTCTTAGAGGCTAAGCTACCAACCAAAGAGCATACATGGGCTGGTCTGTGGCCCTCGCTACAGATGTAGTGGAGGATGCCCTTGTCTGGACTCAGTGGGAAAAGATGTGCTTTATCCTGTAGAAACTTGATGCCCCAGAGAAGGGGGATGCTAGTGGGATGAGGTGGGAGTTGGATGTATGTGTGTGAGAGCACCCTTTCAGAGGCAAAGAGAGGGGGAACTGGGCGAAGAACTCGTGGAGGTGGGACCAGGAAGGGTGGCAACACTTGAAATGTAAATAACTAAAGTTAATAAACAAGTAAGAGGAAGGAATGGGGAGGGTCTGTTTGAGGGGTTACTAGGAGGGGCTAATACTGGTATGTAAAGTGAATAAATAAGTAAATTTTTAAAAAATGAAAAAAATTGCCTTTAGCTAATATTGTCACACCATCTTTATTTTTCTCTAGACACCTCTTTTAAGGCATTCCTGTATCAGTTTAACAGTATAGCCTCCCACTTTTAAAAAATGTTAAGTACCAACAAATCAGGAACCTAACTATAAATTTGTTAGCCTTTATGTGCTAACTCAATAAATATCAACCATGTTGCTAAGTGCAAACTTGATATATTTTCCTAACAAATGCATTACACTTCAAACATAACTTTCTTTGAAAGTGATGTGATTTTAGAAAATGTTCTAAATGATGCAAACAGTCCATCAAGATTCTGGGCTACTATAGTATAATTCTAGAATGTACACAGAAGTTGTATGATAAATCCCTTGACTTCAGATAGGTGATGGCTTTTAAGAGATGGGCCTAGCTTTGTCTGACATCACTGAAGACTGTGATCTTGAAGGTGACCATGAAACTAAGGCTTCTTCCTTTTATTTCTCCTTCTTTGCTGCTGTAAGGAAGCAGCTTGTTCAGCCATGATCTTCCCACCATGATGTGTCATCTTTCGCACTACAAGCCCAATAGGAATGGGATCATGCAAAAACTTCCAAAACAGTGTGTCAAACAACCCTCTTCTCTTTCCATGTGAATTATCTTGATTATTTTGTTATTGTGATAGTGAGCTAACCTGTTCAAGAAATTAACTTTAGTTGATTAAAAAGGCATGTTTAGAGTTAGGTCTACTTGTGCAAACTCACATACATTTTATAGTGGGAAAATTACAATCCCCTATATTCTTTCTACATTGCCCTTTCATCAAATCCTATACTAATATTCACTATCTTTCTAAAGTGAAATATGTTTCTTTATAGTATAAGTAGAGGAATACAAAAAGATAATTTTCTTAAACTCCTAAGAATAAACCCCAATCCATATTTCTACTGGGGCTAGGACTGCAGCATGAGAAAGGAAGTCTTCCCAGACTTCCCTTAGCAACCACATCATTTACGACCTGTATGGTGCTTTTTTTTTGTTTTCTATTTAAGGCTGAGGAGTCTAAGAAATGCAGAGTATTAGAGTATTAACTGGCTCTTTCTGTGACAGACCAGGATTATAGTGTCTTAGCTGCCTTACAACCTGTGCCAATCTCAATTATTATGTGTTAGTATAAAAGAATCAAAACACAAGGACATAGACATTTGCAAAAAAATGTTTAGTGCCCTTAGACTCAGTAATCTGGTACTATATATTTATCTTTTTAAATCAATTTGATATAGAAGTTAATCTTATGTGGAATTCTGGTTTATTTTATCCCCATTTTTCATTTTAAAAACTCACTTGATATTTTGTGTATATATGTATACATATCCTGGAAATAGCAGGAATATGTAAAACACATATATAAAATGAATCCAACTATGTCATATATTAACTATGTTATAGGCAAAGCTCGATTAGTGCCTTCAATGCATTCTTGATGTAGAACTAGAAATTTGAAATAAGTGTATTTTTTCTGTAACTATATAATTTAATTGAAGTTTACATATCTGACTTCAATTCTATGTGAAACATATCAAAGGAATCAGGTCTATACCATATTACACACCATAAATATTACCTTGCCATAAACTAGAACCATCAAAGTAGGCATTGCACACAAGTTAATTCAAATAAAGAAGAAAACAGAAAATTATAACAGAAATCAATGAACTATAAAATAGACAACCAAAACAATAAAAGCAAAGCTGAATCTTTTAAATAATGAAAGAGGGTATTTTATATGTGTTAAATAAATTCACTTCTATTGGTGCTTTTTGCATTTTAAGTATTTCTTCCCATAAACATGCTGTAATTTAGTGCAAATGTGTTTTCACTAAAGATTGTACTCCTGCCAT